GTGTACCAATGCAAGAAGGCTTTTCGGCGGAACATAGCTGCAAAATCCCGTTTTCAATGGAAGTATACTATTTGTTGAAAAAAGTAACTTTACCAGTGAACTGCTCAGAAATGCGCTTGAACAGTTCTTGAATTGCTGTTGAGTTTCCAATAAAGGTGGCGGCCATCTTCAGTCCACGTGGTGGAATATCGCACACGGCAGTCTTTACATTGTTGGGAATCCATTCGACGAAATATGACGAATTCTTATTCTGCACTGACATCATCTGGTCGTCAACTTCCTGAAGGTCATCATTTTTATCATGAAGCTTACGGTTCAAACTGTGAAGGCAGTATGTGCATATCAAACCAACATGAGGAAAAGTCTCATTTCTGAAGAAAAACCGCCAGGAAATCTTTGTGCCAGGACTTCTTATGAATACTGATTTACAGGTCTCAGCTAAGCCATGACATTAGGAACAGCTCACATGATTCACCAGTGAACGAGAAATCAATTTACAACACTAGCCCATAACGTATCCAAGTCGACTTATCTGCTAGAGAGAGTACGGTATGGGCGAGAATTGAAAATTGAACTCCAACCCTACGATTAAGCATATGAAACCGCTTGAGCAATGACTAAGCTGTGCCCTCATACAGTCACATACCCTCTGATTCAACCACATAAGCAGCTATAGTATAGGGCGGGGCTTCGATCGATTAGAGAGCACGTAAGCGTAGGAGACGCAGACTCTGCATTCCCTCGCGCGCGTGCTCTCTGATCACTCCCTAGCCGTAATTAGGTCACGAAACCGCGCCCTCTAGCCGCCTATCTCGTTGAATCAGAGGATAAAAATTTGCTACTCAAATTTACCTACTCTGCTTTGGAGGATCTCAGTCGTGTATAAGCAAACTTATTTAAAGTACAGAAAAGTTCTTTCTGGTAGAAAAGTTTTCCCACGCGCACGACTAATGAGATCGTGCATCGACCGCGCAATGCGTTTTTGTGCAAGTGCACATACTACCATCAACTTCTACGGACTATAAAAGCAATAATTCTCAACTCACGCGCATGCTCATTCGTCCACGGAACATTG